CCTTTTGTATTGCCTTCCTTCTCTCTTTCCTCCCTCCCTCTTTCTCCTTCCCTTCTCTTTCCTCCTTCCTTCTTTCCCCTCTTTCCTCCCTCCTTCCCTCTGTTTCTCCCTTCCTTCCCTCTCTTTTGTCTTGCCTTCCTTCTCTCTTTCTTCCCTCCCTCTTTCTCCTTCCCTTCTCTTTTGTCCTTCCTCCCTTCCCTCTTTCCTCCCCCTTTCCCTCTATATCGTCTTCCTTCCTTCCCTCCCCTTTTCTTCTCTTCTCCTTTCTCCTCCCTCTTTCTCCTTCCCTTTCCCTTCCTCCTTCTCTTCTTTCCCTCTTTCCTCTCCTCCTTCCCTCTTCTTTCTCCTTCCTTCCTTCTTCCCTCCTTTTGTTCTTCCTTCCTTCTCTCCTTTCCCTCCCTCCCTCTTTCTCCTTCCCTTCCCCTTTCATCCTTCCTTCTTTCCCTCTTTCCTCCTTCCTTGTTTCTCCTTCCTTCATTCCTTCCCTCTCTCCCTTTTGCCTTGTCTTCCTTCTCTCTTTTCTCCCTTATCATTTCTTCCCTTCCCTTTCATCCTTCCTAATTTCCCTCTTTCCTCCCCCCTTCCCTCTCATTTTCCTTCCTTCTTTTCCTCCCTCTCTTTTGTCTTGCCTTCCTTCTCTTTTTCCTCTCTCCCTCTTTTTCCTTCCCCTCCCTTGAAAGAGCCTGAGGCTGTTAGGAATGGTGGGAGTTGAAGTCCAAGACCTCTGGAAGGAGGGCCCAAGTTTGCTCATGCCTTGTCTACAGGGAAGTGCAAAAAACATTTGTGCATTTGATGACTGCCAACAACTTTTATGTATATGGCCAATTTCTATTGAATCAAGGAATCTTCCAGTGCATCTCCACTGTAGAATGAATGCAGCTTGACACTGCTTTAACTGCCATGGCTCAATGCTATGGAATGATGGGACTTTTAGATTGACATTAAGTTTAGCCTTCTCAACCAAAGAGCACTGGGACCTTACCAAACTACAATCTCATGATTCCACAGCACTGAGCCATGCCAGTTGAAAATGATGTCAAACTTTATATGTTCTACAGTGCAGATGCACAGTTTTTGCTGTACTTGGCAATTGCTTGAAGCTGTGCTTTAATGAATGCTTTTATTGTTTTGGTCTTGGAATGCTCCCATAGTTCCATGCGGATACAAGGTCAGGGTCATTTAGATATGTCTTGCTGTGAAAATTTAGAAAGAGTGAAAAGCTGTTGCTTGAGCAAAATTTGACCAGCCAACTAATGCCAGCGTGGGTGGCAGAGAGAGTAATATGTTACATAGCAAGTTTCTTTAAGGGTTAGATTAGTGTGTTTGCTTTACGAATGATGGCCAGGCACCCTTTTCTGCACCGACTATGAGTAAAAAGCTTAGTTTTAATCTTCCCATGCTGTGTGCAAATTGGCTTTAGTGCACTAGACACAAATCCATTGTCCTTTTGGAGGACACCCTTTTAAATTGGAGCCCCATCTACATTGCGATATAATGCACTTTTATAATGCAGTTTAACCGCATTGAACTACATTCTGTGGCAGTGTAAACAATGCGTCGATTTGCAACAATGCCAGGGAGTTAGAAGGCTGGCAGGTGTCCCTGATGTATGAGAGATTTACCCCATTTGATAGTTGGAAAGCTTTTATTTGATGTAGCTGGAATGAGAGGGCCAAGATTTGGGGAATGGGCCCTTCATAAAATCATGATTCATATAAAGTATGAATTTGAGCAGTGCGTTAATTGTGAATGGTTAGATTATCCAAAATCAGTGTTACTTCCTGATTGTCAATCCTAAATGATATGCAAAATTTAACTGTACCATATTGCTTGTGAAGTCTTGGCTCTGCCTTTTCCTCTTCTCTGCTTTAGTTTCCCATTTATAGGTTTTCCCAATAGTGTAGATAACTTACTTTGTATTAGTTTTTGGGTGGAGTATAAAAACCCCTAGAAGCCAGCCTTAGTTGGTCTATTCCATTTGCCTGTATAGAGCTCCTTTACTGGGCTCCTCCTTTTTTCTGCAGCAGAGCTATCGTGAACAGAGGCCTGGGTATTGTTGGGTAATCCTAGGCCCAATCAATCCAAAAACAGGCATCCTTAGCACCTGCATTCAGCTGTATTCTTATACCATCAGTCTCAGTGACAACAGAAGCTTTTGACTAGCCTAAGCTTCATAAGAAAGAAGATTGAGACAGCTTATAAGCAACAGCTTGTAAACCGTCGCTTTGCACCAGAGGCAGAAGACTCCAGAGAGATGACTGCAGCCAGCAAAAACTCGCTTTGTAATGTATTGTTTTTTTAGTTACCTTATGGTAGTCCGAGGTGGAGTTAATCCTTTATTTATCTTGTTTTCAGTAAACGCATTTGGTTATCTTTTCACCTTGCCTAAAGTGCCTCTGTGTGTTAAGGATCTCAGTCTTAACAGAAGGTATACAGATAGCCCCTGAGTAAAGCCATATAGTTTTTCCCCAAAGGCTCGGGCATGCCATCATATTGCTGTTTTCAAAACCTGGTTATCCCAGTTTGTCTTGAAACTCAGGCAGCAACAATGTCTTGGGCCAAATTTGATGGTGGTATTCACTAAATATGCTTATCTCCTATCTAGCTTGACTATTCCATGCCTGCTGAGTAACTGCTATGTTGGAACAGTGGTTCTAACACAGGCATTGGCAAAGTTTTTTTTGCTTTGGGCCACATTGTGGGTCAGGCCAGGCTGGGAGGGAAGGGGGCCGGGCACATGCTGGGTGGGGAGCGCCTGGGAAAGGATGGGGCCAGGAGGGAGTAGGGCAGAGCCCAGATCATCATCAGGTTGTCCTCCCAGAATAAGGGCAGGTGTGCTCGTCCCATCCTTTTGCTGCAAAGTGTTGTGGACTGCTCTTCTGATTCTGAGGGAGAAGGAGGACACGTGATAGAAGAAACGGCACTTGGGGATTTGGGGTTGAGTGGTGAGGAGGTAGATGAAGGAGGAGAGGTGGCAGATATAATCAGAAATCCTTATGGTTTCTGGAACGTTGAAGGGAGAAAGAGGGCAGAAGAAGATCAGTTAGGCTAGCAGAAAAAATGTTGAGCAATCAGATCGTACCCTAAGGGTAGCTGTGCTTGGAAGTTCAGGGCTATAAATTCGAAGCAAAGTCAGGGGCTCTGTGCTGGCTGCAACAGACTTATTTTCAGGGGAGTTCCTATTACCAGCACTGATTTGTTCTCTGAAGGCTCTTGTCGTTTGCAACTTGTGTTTACCAAAGACTTTGTTTTGCTGTCTGATGTGAAGACTTCTGTTTTATGTTACTTGAAGAGTGTGTATTATTTTTATTTTGGCTGAAGTAAAGCCTTTTTTATTTGCTTTCGCTTGTGTCTAAGGCTGTTTCTGGCGTAAAACTGGACAGGAAGAAGGCGGGACACGCGGCAACTGCCCCAATCCTCCTTCCCATCTTCCTCCTCCTATCCTCGGGCTGTCCTCTTGGCATTATGCTGGGAGTAGTAAAGACAGGCAGCAGCTGAGTGTGTTCCAGAGGACTCTCAGCCACTGCATGCCTTCCTTGAGCTGTCCTCCTGGCATAAGAATGGAGTCACTTGCATCATCCTTATGCCGAGAGGAGGTTGAGACACAGAGTGGCTGAGAGCACTTCAGAAGGCTCTTGGCTACTACGTGCCTTCCTTCCCCATCTTTTTGGCATAAGGACATGGCGAGCCACATTATCTGCTTTGAACTAATAATAATAAATAATAAAACTTTATTTATACCCCGCCACCATCTCCCCAAGGGGACTCGAAGCGGCTTACATGAGGCCAAGCCCAACAACACATCAGTAAAAACAACAAAGCAATAAGCAAATACAACAATACAATTAATATAACTTACATATAGACCAGGGGTCCTCAAACTAAGGCCCAGGGGTCGGATGCGGTCCTCCAAGGTCATTTACCCGGCCCTTGCTCAGGGTCAACCTAAGTCTGAAATGACTTGAAAGCACACAAGAACAACAACAATCCAATCTCATCAGCCAAAAGCACGCCCACACTTCCTATTGAAATACTAATAAGTTTATATTTGTTAAAATTGTTCTTCATTTTAAATATTGCATTGTTTTAAGTGTTTTTTGCACTACAAATAAGATACGTGTAGTGTGCATAGGAATTCATTCATTTTTTTTTCAAATTATAATTTGGCCCTCCAACAGTTTGACGGATTGTGACCTGGCCCTCTGTTTAAAAAGTTTGAGGACTCCTGATATAGACAATAACACACAGAGATAAAAAAACTTATGGCCGGGCCAGATGTAATAGTTGAAATTTTAAAAATAAATGCTGGGCATGAAAAGAGGTAGGATGTATCTAGTAGAAGCGTTTAAAAGAAATGTAGGGAGAGCAACCCAACGGGTAGTTAAAGTGCTTCTGATGACATTTTGCAGGGAATTGTTTCCTTTATTCAGGGAAGGCACACTGGAACAGCCACGTTTTCAGGCTCCTCCTAAAGACTGCCAATGTGGGGGCTTGCCTGATATCCTTGGGAAGTAAGTTCCAGAGTCGGGGGGCCACCATAGAGAAGGCCCTCTCCCTTGTCCCCACCAGTTGCGCCTGCGAAGGGGGCGGGAGCAAGAGCAGGGCCTCTCCAGATGATCGAAGAGATCACGTGGGTTCGTACACAGAAATGCGGTCACGCATTTAATATGAGTCTACACTGTCATATAATCTAGTTCAAAGCAGATAATCTGGATTTTATATGGCAGTGTAGATGGAGCCTATTGCTGTGAAAGAGAAAGAAATCTCAAAGAGACCACTATTTTATTTATATGTCACATTCATATCCCAGTTTTTCTCTGTTGGGAAGCCATTTGTTAACACAAGTGGAAATGCCATTAATTTTTTTCCCAATGTGATCAGGTCTTGGAGTCTACAGCAGTTTGCTTTTACTTTCTCTCTACAATGAGTTTGTTTCCCTGATTTTCAGAGCCGGGTAGAAGAGAGCAGTAAAAAGACACACACAGAGCGTCACTTAATTTATTGCAAGATTGCTGTTTCCCAAGGATGTGATCTAAGAACCAAGTCCCTTAAAATGTCAGATGCCCACACTTTGTATAATTTCATCTTCTATGGGAGAATAAGAGCCAGGGCTCAAGTGGCCATTGCCATGTAGCCGCTTCCAGATTCCTGCAGTGTGAGGAGGCTGTCTTTGGAGGCTTGCATCTTCTTCATGGTTTTCAGAGCCCGGATGGTGCTCTCTGTGGAGCTTCTGAATTTGCAGTAGCGTGTTAAGAAGCAAAATGGAAGGGTTTGTGCAATGTAGTTCAAGAGGGCATTCAAGTTTTCCTCCTGCAACATTTTTTCCCAAACTCCGGTAAAAATCCTTTGGCACAGATCCTGGAGGCAACGGATCGTAGTAAGTGCCAGCTGGAGCTCTTCTAGGATGTAAGTGGCTTGAGGAACATTCTCGACCATCGTGGCCAAAAATTCATCAATGGTAAACAAGATGATCAAGTAGATGGTCCTCAGTGGGAGTGTTATTGTGTAATACAAGGCTATCAGCCAAGCCTTCCATTCCTGAAATGCAAAGATACAATGGAAAGAACATAACTGGGAATGCAGAAAGAACATAACTGGGTTTAGTCTAGCTTAAAATTGTTGACACTGACTGGCAATTTCTGTCCAAGCATTCAAAATTTGATAATTTTTCAGTCCTATCTGGAGATGTCCAGGACTAAACCTGACTTTTGTGATCAGAACACATGTTCTGCCAGTGAACTATGATCCTGCTCCCCATTCAGAGACATGTTTGGACATTGGATATATGAGACCTACTAGGATGGAGTTGACAACTTATTATCTTGATCCTATCTTTAACATGCATGGTTGTCCCATAGTTCTTGCACTCTTTGCAACAAAGAGCCCCATTGGCTCGTATCCCTACCAGTCTCAGCAGTCAAACCTCAGATCTAAAGCAAACATATCAATCCTCCCCATACTTGTGATGACCATTTTAGCTCACAGCAGTATCTTCCTCATTGCAAATGGATCAGTAAACTGTTACAGCACAACAGAAATCCTGAGGTCATCCAACTTTAAGAAGTATTGGGAAATCTGCTCATTCCTATGACAGATAATAGAAGTTGAGACTAGAATGCAGAACAATGGCTTCAAACTACAGGAACCATCTGAGCATGAAGAAGAACTTCCTAACTGTGAGAGCTGTTCATCAGTGGAACTCTCTGCCCCGGAGTGTGGTGGAGGCTCCTTCCTTGGAGGCCTTTAAAGTAAAGACTGGATGGCCATCTTTCATGGGTGCTTTGAATGCAATTTTCCTGCTTCTTGGCAGGGGTGTTGGACAGGATGGCCTACAAGGTCTCTTCCAACTCTAGGATTCTATGATTCCATGAGTTTTTTGTAACCAAGGAGACACAACAGAGTGGAAAACCATCTCTACATTGCCTTTGGACCTTGCTTCTGATGAAAAAGTGCTCTAGCTGACCAGTAAAACTTATTCTTTCCATGTAGCTGATTGCCTGCAATCATCTAAATAATTCATTAATGTTTCAGGTGGAACCACTGATGGTTCCATGAGAGTTTAAAGAATCACCATCCTTCACAGTAGAAGATCCTGGACTCAATGGACGAATGGCCTGATAATAAGTCAACTTCATGTTCCAAAATTGACAACTTATTTCTCTATCCAAAACAAATGATCCTCACGTTTGTAGCCTCTCAGCACAGAAACCATGTGGTCAATCTAATCTTTGAAGGCCAGACTAAATATTAGGGGAATGTGCATTCCCTACAATTAAGTCCAATGGAACTTCCTGAAAAACAATGGAGCTTCCTGAAAAGCATTTGCTTTAGGAATCAGGCATACTTTCACATTATTACTTATAAAACAAATTACATTAAATATAATATACATATATGAAGAAAATCATGTGACACAAAATGTCTTCCATTACATAGATGAGAGTTGCTGTTAAAGTAAGATGTTAAACAACAACAAAAACAACAACAACAACAACAACAATACCAGTATATACTCAAGTATAAGCTAATCTGAATATAAGCCGAAGCACCTAATTTTATAACAAAAAAACGGGGAAAATGTATTGACTCGAGTATAGCCAAGAGTGGGAAATGCAGAAGCTACTGGTAAATTTCAAAATAAAAATAGATACCAATAAAATTACATTAATTGAGGCATCAGTAGGTTAAATGTTTTTGAATATTTACATAAAACTGTAGTTTAAGATAAGACTATCCAACTCTGATTAAACTATTATTCTAACCACCTTCAGTGTAAATGTACTTAAGTATCCTTCCAATAATAATAGAGTAAAATAATAAATGTAATAATAATAATAACAGAGTAAAATAATGGGAATGTAATATTAACAAAAATAATAGAGTAAAATAATAAATGTAATAATAACAATAATAGAGAAAAATGATAAATGTAATAATAATAGAATAGAATAATACATGTAATAATAATAGAGCAAAATAATAAATGTAATAAAATAATAGAGTAAAATAATGTAAATGTAATAACAATAGAGTAAAATAATAAATGTAATAAAATTTTAATAATAATAGAGTAAAATAATAAATAACCTTGACTCAAGTATAAGCCAAGTTGTGCTTTTTCATCCTAAAAAAGGATTGAAAAACTCAGCTTATACTTGAGTATATGCAGTTATTGTTGTTTTTGTTGTTGTTGTTAGAATCTAGACTGATGCTGCAGGATGTGTTCGGTCTTTAAATCCTTAAAAGATTATTATTATTATTATTATTATTATTATTATTATTATTATTATTAAACTACTCCATTTTTAAAACCAGCATGATTATTATTCCTATTTACTTCAAAACAAAATAGAATGTGGAAATAAGAAAACCTGGGCCTTACCAGATACTGGTTCTCAAGTACTCTTTGGAGGTTGAGACTTACATGCCTCATATGGTGCTGAGATTGCCTGGAAGCAGCATGGTGGAACTTGTTCAGCAGGGAAATCAAACAGGACAAGTACCCATCACATGCTATCTGTGTCTGTACGTGCTGCATGGAATTCCCCAGTTTTGTTTGGTAACATCTTTTAACTTCAACTGAAAGAAAGAAAATCACAGTATGATTGTTAGATGAGATCAGAGAATATAGCAAAGGCATTTTCCCTCTGTGTGCCTGGGACTGGCACCAAATCTGTGTCCACTGGCTGGTGTTATATTATTCCTTTCTGTGAAGATGTCCAGCCACTGTCAACAGATGGTATGGGGGCTCATGGACCACCACTATGGGTATGTGAAAAGCAGTTTCAAACAGAATAACTTGAAATAATCTTACTGGCATGATGAACACTGAACTGCTGCCAAACAGGTTTTGCTATCTCTTTTTTTCGGTGGTGTTCTATTTGTCGATGCCATTAAAATCCCAAACTTTTAATATAAAAAGTAAATCTAAAGTCAAACTCCAAATGGAGTTCTTACTTGTATCTTCATCAGCAACAAGGAGGTAGTGGTCCAAGAAGGCATGGGACCTGCCCAGCATCGCTTCCACGCTGTTCTTGGCCATCTGTCCCATTCTTGTTCCCATCACCAGACTCATACTGCCAGTCACCATGGATGTTGTGGTTTTCACACCACCCTGCATGGCATCTTTGGTCATACACACCATCCCTGATAGTTTGCGACTGACAGCATTTTTTGCACCTGTGACTTTAGAAGACATCAACTCTTTGGTATCAGAGACAACCTGCAGGAGGTAAAGGGAAGGATTGATCAGATTGGATTGGATTGAAAGCAGAGCAGTCACCCTTTGATTGTAGTCTCTGTCCCATGGGGTTGATGTTTGTTTTTCTATTGTAATTGTGTATCTTCCTGTATTGACTACTGCAACGCTCTTTATGTGGGGTTGCCTCTGAAGACTGCCCGGAAGCTGCAATTAGTCCAACGTTCAGCAGCCAGATTACTAACTGGAGCAGGGTACAGGGAGCGCACAACTCTTTGTTGCACCAGCTCCACTGGCTGCCAATTAGCTTCCGAGCACAATTCAAAGTGCTGGTTTTAACCTACAAAACCCTATGTGGTTCTGGCCCGGTTTACCTGTCCGAATGTATTCTCCCCTATGAACCATTAAGACAATTAAGATCTCCTCGTGAGGCCCTGCTCTCAGTCCCGCCACTTTCGCAATCACGTCTGGTGGAAACAAGAGACAGGGCCTTTTCTGTGGTGGCCCCTTGGCTATGGAACTCTCTCCTGATTGAGATCAGATCTGTCCCCTCGCTCCTGTCCTTCAGGGGGCTGGTGAAATCCTGGCTATGGAAGGAAGCATACCCACAGTAATGGTTGAAACTGGCTAGAGAACAAAGTTATCGACCACACATAAGGACTGAGTTGGACATGATTTTATCTTGGCAATTTGGCTTATTTGTAATTTTAATCGATATGTATTTTAACTCGTTATTATATGATGTTTTTAAATTGTACTGTTAGCATTGAATCCTTGCTGTAAGCCAGTCTGAGTCCCTCTACGGAGGTTGAGAAGATCGGGATATAAAAGTTTTAAATAAATAAATATCTTCAAGTTGTTTCTGACTTTCAGAGACCCTAAGACAGGGGTCCTTAAACTTTTTAAACAGAGGGCCAGGTCACAATCCCTCAAACTGTTGGAGGGCCGGATTATAATTTGAAAAAAACATGAATGGATTCCTATGCACACTGCACATATCTTATTTGTAGTGCAAAAAACACTAAAAACAATACAATGATTAAAATGAAGAACAATTTAAACAAATATAAACGTATTATTATTTAAAAGGGAAGTGTGGGTCTGCTTTTGGCTGATGAGATAGGATTGTTGTTGTTGTGTGCTTTCAAGTCGTTTCAGACTTAGGTTGACCCTGAGCGAGGGCCGGGTAAATGACCTTGGAGGGCCGTATCCAGCCCCCAGGCCTTAGTTTGAGGACCCCTGCCCTAAGATGAAGCTGTCATGGGATATTTTTGGCAAGATTTGTTCAGAGTGGGTTTGCCTTTAGCATCCTTTGAGGCTGAGAGAGTATGACTCACCCAAGATCACCTACTAGGTTTCCATAGTCAAGCAGGGATTCAAATTCTGGTATCCCAGAATCATTGGTCCTGTACTCAAGATATTATTATACAATATACCTTTGCTTTTCTAAAGGTGGTTTTTTTCCCCCCCAATCCCATTTTCCTGTTTGTGGATGTCTATACAGCAGAGTGGAAATATGGAAAATATTTTCCAGCAAATATGGAAAACACAAGAATGGCCATCAGACTGGAAAAAATCGACTTATATCCCCATACCAAAAAAGGGAAATGCGAAAGACTGCTCAAACTTCCGTACAGTGGCCCTTATTTCTCATGCCAGTAAGGTAATGCTCAAGATCCTGCAAGGAAGACTCCAGCAATACATGGAGCGAGAGTTGCCAGATGTTGAAGCTGGGTTTAGAAAAGGCAGAGGAACAAGAGACCAGATTGCCAATATCCGCTGGATAATGGAGAAAGGCAGGGAGTTTCAGAAAAACATCTACTTCTGCTTCATTGACTATTCTAAAGCCTTTGACTGTGTGGATCATAATAAATTGTGGCAAGTTCTTGGTGGGATGGGCATACCAAGCCACCTTGTCTCTCTCCTGAGGAATCTGTACAAGGACCAAGTAGCAACAGTCAGAACTGACCACGGAACAACAGACTTGTTCAAGATTGGGAAAGGCGTACGCAAGGCTGCATACTCTCACTCAACCTTTTTAACTTGTATGCAGAACACATCATGCGATGTGCGGGGCTTGATATGCAAAGCTGGGGTGAAAATTGCTGGAAGAAACATTAACAACCTCAGATATGCAGATGACACCACTCTGATGGCCGAAAGCGAGGAGGAGCTGAGGAGCCTTCTAATCAAGGTAAAGAAGAAAGCGCAAAAGCCGGGTTGCAGCTAAACGTCAAAAAAACCAAGATTATGGCAACAAGAATGATTGACAACTGGAAAATAGAGGGAGAAACCGTGGAGGCCGTGACAGACTTTGTATTTCTAGGTGCAAAGATTACTGCAGATGCAGACTGTAGCCAGGAAATCAGAAGACGCTTACTTCTTGGGAGGAGAGCAATGTCCAGTCTCGATAAAATAGTGAAGAGTAGAGACATCAGACTGGCAACAAAGATCTGCCTAGTCAAAACCATGGTATTCCCTGTAGTAACCTACGGATGTGAGAGCTGGACCTTAGGGAAGGCTGAGCGAAGGAAGATAGATGCTTTTGAGCTGTGGTGTTGGAGGAAAGTGCTGAGAGTGCCTTGGACTGCGAGAAGATCCAACCATATCCTCCAGGAAATAAAGCCCGACTACTCACTGGAGGGAAAGATACTAGAGACAAAGTTGAAGTACTTTGGCCACATCATTTATTTATCGTGTCATCAGCAACCATTGAATTACAATTCTAACAGAGCAAAACAAACACACAGATTAAAAAGAAAAAGGAAAAAAAAACACAGATTTTGCAAATTTGGTATTTGGTTAAATGTCCTTTGACCAGTATCTGGCCACTTGGAGTGCCTCTGGGGTTGCCGCAAGAAGGTCCTCCATGTGCATGTGGCAGGGCTCAGGGTGCATTGCAGCAGGTGGTCAGTGGTTTGTTCTTCTCCGCACTCGCATGCCGAGGATTCCACCCTGTAGCCCCATTTCTTACGATTGGCTCTGCATCTCGTGGTGCCAGAGCACAGTCTGTTCAGCGCCTTCCAAGTCGCCCAGTCTTCTGAGTGCCCAGGGGGGAGTCTCTCATCTGGTATCACCCATGAATTGAGGTGCTGGGTTTGGGCCTGCCACTTTTGGACTCTCGCTTGCTGGGGTGTTCTAGTGAGTGTCTCTGTAGATCTAAGAAAACTATGTCTTAGGGGGCGGAGTTACCATGGCCGGTTGAACAGACGTCTTTCCTCCAGCTCTTGTGGAAATATAGCAAAAAAGCAGTGAAAATGAATGGATAATTGTCCTTTCTGGATCAAAAAGGGAGGTGAAAGTCTGGTGCACGTGGAGAGCCTAAGAAGGTAATTTATTACCAATTACTTGCTTTGATTTATGAGCTTTAGCAGAAGATAGGGCGGCTGCCGAAAAATGGCTTGGAAAGTGAAACTAACTTGCCAATTATAACTGCGCACTGACTTGGAGAAGACTTGGAGAAGATAAACAGCTGCAATTTAAATACAATATTAGAATACTAAAAATATTGGACTTAATGACTTAATGATCCGGAAGGCAAAATAAATATTAGAGGCAGACTCCTCCTTTGAAGAAGGATCGAGCCAGTCTCGTTACATTAAAGGCAACCCTCCTGGCATTGCAAGGCATAATTGAGTGGGACTTTTTTGTACTGTGTGCTGTGTAGAACGGGAAAACAAAGCAATTAAAAAATTGATGAAAGCAGGAGGAGTGAAATTGAGGTTGAATGAGAAAGAATAAACAAAGTAAGGATACCTCAAAACCAAATCCTCTTTGGTTGCGTTCCAAACCTTCGGACAGATCGCTTTCAAGATTAGAAAGACTGGAAAGGGTCCCTGAGGAAATGAGCACTGTTAGGAGAAGTCCTCCCCTCCCCACCACAATTAAGGGAAAGCTAAAACGAACACCCCCCCAAACCCCCCCTCAAATGGAAGGGGGGGCAAAAGGGGGAGGAACTATTTCAACCTCGCTGCCATGTTTAACAGCAGAGCCAAAAGAAAGCAGAATGAGCAGTGAGGGGGAAGAATTGGGGATGGGCAACAGTCAAATGCTAAGTAAAATAGCAGAATTGATTAAAGAAACGGCTGAAAAACAAACAAAGGAAATGAACTTGAATTTGAACCTGATGTTTGATAAAGAAAGAGAAATAAGGAAGGGCGAAATTCAGGCATTGAAGCAAGAAATTCTGACCAGCAATAAACAAATGAGAGCAGAGTTGGACGCGGAACGAAAAAGCTCGGATGAAAAATTTCAGACAATAAGAGAAGCCCTGGAGATTGCACAGGGAGAAATACGAAAAAATAAAGCAGAAATTGAAAGAAGTACACAGGAACAACTGGTACTCAAACAACAAACGCAAAAAAATGAAAATAGGCTCTCTGACATGGAAAGAAAGTTTGTGTACATGCAAGACAACCAAAGAAGAAATAACGTAATAATAAAAAACTATCCAGAAGGAAACAAGAAAGAAGATCTGAAATCTGAGATCCTGAAATGGTTGCAAAAGATCTCGCCAACACTAAACTGGTCAGAACTGGATATTGAGAGAGTTCATCGCCTTCCAGCTGGAAGAAATAGAATAATTCCTAGGAACATAATAATTCGATTTCACAATTTCGCAAAGAAAGAAGATTTGATGAAAATATTAAAGAAAAATCCAGATTTCCTAAAGATGGGTGACTCAAAATTGGAAATATTTAATGACTATTGTTCTGAAACTAAGAATTGGAGATATTCAATGAAGCCTATTACGACGCAGTTAATGAAAGCTGGAATTGTGTACACCTGGGGATACCCTATCTTTCTTAAATTTCAATGGAAAGGCAAGAGATATAGAATTGATACACCGGAACAAGGCTATCAACTACTGGAGGAGCTTGGCATAGTAAGAAGACAAGAGAGAGATCGAAAGGAAGAGGAGGTGAAGGATCCGGATGGAGGAGAATTGGAGGAATTAATTGGTGCCGTTGGAGGAATCGAGATGTAAGAAGAAATTATACACTGCAATCAAGTTTTTTTGTTGA